CAATATGCAAAGAGGTACACGGATAGTATCCAAGGTGAAAAATGACTTAGAGACACATAAAATTAAAGACAAGGGAATAGACACAAACTAAATCGCAATTTAGCTTAGCGAGAATTAGTGCTGTACAGAGACAGCTTCTAATGCAGATTAAGATTGAAAGAAAGACAGAAATTAAGGCAAATTTTAGACAGTAATATGCACTAAAATACACAGATATTTCTCAAGGCGAAAAATGATTCAGAGACATAAAGAACACAAGTTGAGAGAACAGACAAGAGATAGCTTTTCTCATTCCCAAGTGCAACAATTTTGTCGAAGGTATCATAGTAAAATTGAGTCTCAAAGTTGAGTATGATTTTTGTACAAAAATAAGATTCATAACGCAATCATCGATTTTTTTTCACTTTATATGGTCAGGTAGGTTTCAGTTCGTAAGTCAACTGATTATTTTATTTTATATAATGCGAACTTCTCGAAATGTCTATCAGTTAAACTGATACTATGCTTCTATTTCATTGAATTGATGTTCTGCTAAAGTACTGACACAATCTAAAGTTATTGTAGACTGTGTGATTACTTTGATTTTATTACAATATTTTAGATGTCCCATTCTTTTCAATTTATGCACTGCTCGGCACAAGTTTAAAAATATATCTTAAGTTCATTTTTTTATGATTTCTTTATCATTATTAATTATTTTAACAAGTTTTGCAAAAAACTGCAATACAGTATAGAAAATTGGTTAAAGAAATTGGAAGACCATATAACAATCAGCGTACGAGAAATATACGTTAGATTGGATAGATTTGATCTATTTTAAAGATGACAAAATAATTTTTGATAGACTAATGCTATTTTAATATTTTCCCCACTTTTTCCCCGTAATGTATTTAAATAAAAAATGAATATATGCAGGTATAAGTGTACCGTCTCGTTTTTGGTATAAATTGGATGTGATTTTCCTTCTTTATTAATCATAAAAAAGCAATAAATGCAAATACTTAATAAAGTTTCTAGGAATTTCATGAATATTACCAAATTCTTGCAAATTACTTCCTCGAAAGCTAACACGAGATGCATGTAAATCAATATCTACACCTTAAGGCGAATACATTTCTTCAAACATTTCTACACGCACGTGTAACCTAAAATACTCTTTCGGCTAAATAAAGTATTTTTTCAAATAAAAAATATTGTTTAGGTGTTTAATTAATTCCCAAATTTTTTTAATTAAATAAATGCGTGACTTCCTTTTGTTTAAGGTAATATTATAAAAAAGTATGGCAGTATAGGTAAATAAATTTTTCCTTCTAATTTTCATCTAGAAAAAATACAATTTTCGGCTTCATTTCACTTTGGGAAGAAATTATATCCTCAGTAAATCTTTTTCATTTGTCAAGATTTTTTTGTGCTTCTGTAATTGAGCTGACAACAGGTGTAGATTTCATTATACTACCTAAATAGCTAAAAATAAAGAATAACAAATAAGAAAATAATAAAAAAAACTGAATATATTTATTTATGCAGGAGTTGAACATAACTATTTTCATATATTTCACAATCTACGGAGACATCAAACAAAATATTTTCCTTTAAAGAATTTTTGTCATATAAACAAAAGAATAAAATAACAGAATAAAAAAAACATGTACAATTTAGATGGATGAAAATATTTAGACGGAAAACAGGAAACGTGTATAGAATTTCGAATTCGGACACAATAAGACTACAGAATAGCAAGCCGTGGCAAATCCTGTTCTTGACAGCACAGGCTTTTGTGTACATTTCCATTGTTAAAGGCTTTTTACCTTTGGTTTTTCTACTTAAAATGCATGTCATATGAAAATATCAACTTGTATCCAATTAGAATTAACAAAGCCGTTTAAAGGATAATATAGGGATGGACTGAATATGAGCTTAGTTATATGTTTATCTATATGACTTTTACAATAATAACATAATAATAAATATTCTAAAAAATATATGCTAAACTACATAATTGTTTATTAAATCTTCATAAATTTTTATTGAACTATAACTAGTGTAAGTTAGACCACATTAGTCACAGATTTTTGTTTTTTTTTTTTTTGAAAATGACGTAATAAATGTATTAGATTATTTTTAAGCAATTATTACCTTAACTCTATATCTTTTAAACTGTCTTATAAAGTTATTGAACTTCTGTTCCAAAATATACATTATTAAAACCAAAAAGAGTTGGTCTTCTAACATAATTGAACCATATCAGATTAAACAATTTTTCAAAAAATTAAAATTTATTAAAAGAATTAAAAGAAAAAAAAAGCAAATTGGATTCCCCTTTTTCTTGTATAAATTAAATTAGTCATTTTAGATGCTCATTCAAATCTCAAATTCAACTTGAAGTTGCAAGAGGTAAATGATGCATTTAAATGAATTTCCTTTGCAATTATAAATTTCCTTTTAACGAATGCAGTCGTCAATTTACTCATAATCACATTCATATGCACTTCAAGTGCCCTCACGTAAATTGTTTTCATTTTAATAATTTCATAAAAATTAAGAGAAAACGTTATATGAACAGTGCACCACAAGATATATAGAAAATTATGATATTCTTTTGCAATACAACACACTGAATCCATAGTACACAGAAAACAGGGGTTTAAATGAGAAGTAAAGGGTTAAAAAACACTTCACAGCATCTAAAAGACACTTAAAGGCAAACGAAATGATAAAAAGAATGATTATTTTATTACTGGAGTTCATGCTCAAGATGAAATAATTAACGAAAAAAATTGATATATAACAATAATTATTTTGAAGAAGATTTAAAGATAATGTATAATTCTAAAGAGAAAAAACACGAATAAATTAGTGTAAAATTGTCAATTAAATATATTATATCATTTTAGAAAAATAATACATTTTTTAATTATACTAGTATTTGTATTCCATATTATGTACTACTATATGTACTACAATATTTAAAAATAAAGCTTACTCGTCCATCACATCGTCAAAATCTGCCACTATGTTTAATAAATATGCCACTGTTTTAAACTTTTGGAGTACTGCAATGCTGGAGTTGTTAGGATATAATAGAATTATAACCGATCGATCGAATACTTAAAAGGTTCGAGCTATTCGAACAGCAGATATCATCTGTTTATATATTGGCATATATAAACACATTCAAACATATTTGATAGTTCGCTATGTCTGAACCAAATACGTGAATGTAAGCATACTTGAACATCGTAGTGGTTAAAGCTTAAAGCAATTCAAATGATATTTAAAACTCTAGTAAAGTGTTTCTTAATACAAAAGGAACTGCGGACTGTGAAACTTTTTAAAAAGACTGTATCAATGTTTTTCCAAAGTATAATATCATAAATAACGAAAATAAAATACGTGACCTGTGGTGCTAATAGCGCGGATTATTCGTGGACCAACACTGGTCTATTGACAGATACTAGAATCTATGCTCTAGTATGTTCGTATGACCAATTTACTATTTTGTATATATTCCTAATTATACTTTGGTATCTGTATTTTTGTTAGATTGTAATGAAAAATACTGGATTTAGCTGTTCTGGATTCAATTACTTTTATTGTGATCTGATGATCGGAATATAAAAATAGTGATATTTGACAGTCGAATCGTAGTAACATGTATCAGTCCGACTGCTTCTGTTGATTCGGTATATCTCAGCTAGAAAGACACTGCTGGAATCAGTGAGATGACAGATAGATAATAAATAAATAATTATAATTAATTCAAGAAAGATTGAAATAAACATAAATGGACACTGCACTGTTTCTATTACTCTCTCCATTCTGTAACCGGCCATATAGATGGTAACCTTAGAGGTATCTCTCAGTTTCCTGATTGGATAGAGAGTAGAAATTTTAGTTTGAAGTTCAGAGTTATTATCATGTAGCCTGCTACTGAGAACAATCATGAACATGCAATCACATCTCTTATTCATTTCACCCAAAATTATAGTTACTGTGTCTATAGTTAATCGAATACCATTCCTTACACTCTCGTAGTCTTAGTACTTTAAGCTGCAAAGTCGTGAAGAAATATTTGTAACGATAGCCGATTCATTACCTCAACTGAACCTGAACTTTCTAGGGTGCACTACCTACGGATTCTGTGATACCCATGGTAGCCATTCTATAAACTTTTTCTATTACCACACCTCAATTTTAAATAATTTACTATTTGTAATTTTTTAAAAATCACTTGAATAAAGTAACTATAAAGCAGCTATTAATTATTGATTAATAATTATATTAATTACATAATTATGTTAATATTTATGTTTTATATTATATATAAAATATATAATATAAATATATATAAAATATATAATATAAAATATATTAAAATATATAAATATATATATCTTTTATGATATGTATAATAATATGTATATATGTGTAATATATATATAATATGTAATATAAAATCTCTGTAATGAAATATGTATATTTTATAATATAAAACATATATAATGCATAATATAAAGTATAAATAGTATAAAATATATATAATATAATATATATATAAAATAAAATATATTTAATATAATATATATATAAAATAAAATATATACAAAATAATATATATATAATATAAAATATATATAATATAAAATCTATAACAAATATAATATGAGATATATATAATCTACAATATAAAATATGTAGAACATATATTATAAAAAATTTAACGGTTAATGTATAATATACTCGTATATTGCAATATGTAAATTAAAAGAAAATTTTAAAATAAAACAAATACTTTAACATAACATAATTTTATATTCTAAAATATTTTATTAATATTAAAAAAACCGTCGTCTTTAATTTGTGTAGATAGTGTAAATAAAATATATATTATTTAACAATTGTATTATTTTTATACAAGTTTATGTTAAAAATAATATTCAAGAGTAATAATATGCAAATAGCAATATTCTTTAAATAATTTTTTAATATTTTAGTTTGTGTTAAATTAAAGAACTGAAGTTAAAAAATAAAAAGTCCACTATAATTATAATAAAAGCCTTTATAATGGCCCTAATGAAAACATTGTGATGGAAAGATCAAATTAATGTGGAGCAAAGTCAATTCTAATTAAAAGAAAAGTGTGAAATAATTAAAACTTGTAATCAAAATGTTACAATTGATTACTTCTACACCATTTAATTTATATTATACTTAAAATAATCGAACGACTTGTCATTAACAAGTCCATTTATATAAAATAAAGGAGTGAAGTGAAGTGCTTATAAACCACAAAGCCCATAAAACCCACAAATTGCGTGAGTGTACCTCCTAAACCAAGAGTTTCATGTGCGTGTCAATTAAAAATTTAACACTTAAAATTAACGCAATCAACAATTTACTTTGGGTTTAAGGAGAAAAAGACGCGTTAATTAAATTGTAAGACCGTTGTGGTGTCTTGGTTGTCTTTCATAAGTCAACCAAGGCCTTAACACGCAATTTCACTCAATTAATCGGCTAAATTTGTAAGGAGTACTTGCCGCATAAAGTGTGTCGCTATGTCGCTACGTAGCAATAATTTGAATGCTCAATCGACATTTCAACCACAATCGCCACAATTGCAACATCAAAATTTCATTCCAACACCACAATTCCAGCAACAGCAACAACAGCTATTACAACAACTGCAACAACAACATAAATTCCAGCAACAGCAGCAGCAATTGTCTAAGTCACCACCCTCACAACTACAACTACAACAGCACCAACACCCACACCAGCAACAACAACAACAACAACATCAACATATCATCACAAATAATAGTCGCAGCAATAATTTAGCTACCTTAGTTGCTGCCATTAACAATGAAAATTGTTATCAACTGTCAGCAGCAACAACAGCAGCAACAGCACCGCCAAATGCAATAACACACAATAGTCAAGGCAACGTAAATACAATTAATTCGCCGCCATCGTATGCAGCAACTGTTGCTGCCAATGGCAATAGTCTAGCTGATACACACAACAAGCCACCAACATTTCAATTTATTAATCATTACCAAGCACAGGAATTGGCAGCACCCAATACTGTTGCTGAAAAGGAAGACGCTGATGACTTGGAACAGCAGCAACAGCAATTGTGTGTCGTCGCCAAAATGCAGAAATCTGTTACAATAACAGTCACGCCACAACGTAGCAATTCATTGGATTATTTAAATTTTGAGGAGAAACGACAGTTAATCGCATCCTCGCTGTCCTTATCAGACATATTACATTGTAATCCAACAGCAGCTGCAGCCGTTGCTGCCAAGGAAGTTGCCGCTAATGCAAATGGTGAGTTTTTGTTTTTTTTTTTTATCAATGGAATGATTTTCGAGACAGTTTTGTGTGATATAATAGGGTTTAAAAAGGATAGATTGTTTAAGGGTTATCATAGAAGATGTATATGCAGCTATATTTCATATTAATATGGAGCAAATTATAATAATAAGTTGCTATAATAGATTGATTAAGTGATTAAATCTATGAAATTTTCTAATCGTTCTTCTTGGGAATGTTATTTATTTACACATCTGTTGCTATGATGATTAAAATTGCACAATATGACCTCCTGATACTCAATTTGATTACTGAACTTTTATTTATTGATATAAAATATTTTTATAAACTAAAATTCACATTGTTTAGGAGTATTAACTAAAACTATTTAAAATAATTAAATTTAATTATTTTTAGTAATATTATCTAGACACGTTTCAAAAGCGTATTTTTTTATCGAACTGCAATTAAAACATTGAGTTCTTGTTTCCTATTTATAGTATATAGTATCTATTTACATAAATCTATATTTTATATATAGTGATTTCTAGTTCAAGTTCAAATATCTTCATTACACTTGGAGATATGTATATGTACTGTATCCACTTCAAACTTGTAAGTGCTTTTAATTTTGATAATGTGATAATCATTTAAACCCTTCTTACCACTTTTGCTTTATAGAAAATCACGAAATTATCGAAATAGTAAATCGATCATCAAACGAACTAAGATCTGTTTAAAATTGGAGAGAGCTGTGATTTCCATGGTTTCATGATTTAACTTAGTTTTTGTTAGAATATAGCATAAATCAAGCACTTACTTTATTTCATATCTTAGATCAAGGTAAATAATTGTCAAATTCAAATCGTCAGTTCACCTATTAGTGCGGATATTCGTTAAAGAAACATCCTTGAAAATTGTCAGTTCACCTATGTTGGCATACCTTAAGAAAGCACCTTTAAAAATCGTCACTTCATATATAAGTCCTGTTGTTCCTTAAGAAAGCATCCTGGAAAATCGTTAGCTCACATATAAGTGCTGGTGTTTCGTAAGGAATCATTCTTGAAAATCGTCAGTTCACCTATTAGTGCTGGTGTTCCTTAAGATAGCATTCTTAAAAATCGTCAGTTCACCTATAGGTGTTGGTGTTTCTTAAGGAAGCATCCATGAAAATTACTTTTGTTTAAAAAATGGTTAGCCAGTGACGTATCAAAATTCATTAAGAAAAATGTCGCCATATCACATTCACTTTTATTAAAAAAGATGACGTTACCTAATTAGGGCGAAGATAAAGAAAGAGAAGATTAATATAAGGTACAAATCAAACTATAAGCTGCACTGTGTTCTCAATTGCCAATCGTTATATTTCTTATATAAAACTAATTTGGAAATATGTTCTTCAATTGTATGAGAATGTGAGTCATTTTAACATTGAGATTTTACACTACGACCTAAACCTAAATAAAAAATGGAATTTAAATAAGTTGTTTTTAATGCATTTTTCTCTTTCTTAACGAATGCATGAGTTTATAAATACCCCGAATCAAGTGCATTAAAGATTTCAGTTATGTGCTTTGACTTTATGACCATTTAAAAATTTTATTATTGAATCAGTCATTAGTAGAGGTGTTTTACTTTCAATTAATGTTCCACTACCCGGAGCAGGTAAAATCATTTAATTCAGTGTGCAAAGAGCGTAGTCGAAGGTGATTACTAGCACACCATGATATATCAGAAAAGTATTACTAACATTTCCTAAGATCACTGGGGATGAGGGGACTTGGTAATAGATGGTGAATACTGGAGCACCATGATATATCTGAAAAGTATTTCTTATATTTTTTAAGCTCACTGATGATGACGGGACTTGGTAATACTCGAAACAGCGTTGTAATTGAAAAGTACATCTATAACTAAAATTATTGTTAATTCTCTGAAATATGATTCAAATAAAATATCTCATATCTGTATTTTCATTTAAATCAAGTATTTCTTCTTTTACATTTTTCTACTATTAAAAAAAATAAATATGCGTAAAATAATATATACTAAAACCACATTTTTATAAAAAAGCTGCTTATAAAATTACAATAGAAATTAGAACTATTTATGTATATCATTCATAGTAATTTTAGTCATAAAGCGCATAGTATCTGCATTTATTATTTGTTGTTGTTTCGTAATTGTAACTGTTGCTCTAGTTTATTTACTTTAAACTACATAATAAATAAACATAGAAAGCTTATGGTGTTTGTATCTACGTTACGATTATTTATGTGAGTCAGTTAAGATTTCATCACTTACTGCAATTTAAACCAATTAAATTTTTATTGAAAGTGCGAAACAAATTTCGCAGTTTCATTGTAAGAAGAACATAAATTGCAGTTACTTAGTTAAAATTGTTAAAATATAAAAGAAAAAAATTTAATAAATTTATCTAAGAATACAAAAGTTTCGTCAATCATATAATTTTTTTGATATGCGATGACACAATACTGAGACCAGAAGTAAGCATGCAAAATTTACAACTAAAAAAACTTCACAAACGAATTTCTTTCTTCGACTGCAGATGCAAAAAGCTCAGGAATGTCGTAGATTTACAAGTGCGAAAATAATTGCAATGAAACTATTTCTCTTCTTGTATCCGGGCATTTTCCTTGGGTTGAAAAGATACAATTTTTTGAAGCGAAAGAGACACAATGACAATAATTGCAGTGTCACTGTGTTTGACTTCAACATAAAAGGGATTTGTTGAATTTTAAATTAAATTCTATAACTTTTTTACTTTTCAGAAACTATTTTTATTAAATGTTATTCAAACATTTTTGTAACATTATTTTTTACAGAATTTGTATTGTATTAAATTGTATTACATATATTATTGGTTGTTGCGTTGATTTCATTGTGTTGAAAGATTGGAGAATCTTAAAGGTTGATCCATAAAAACAAAATATAAATATACTCGTACCTATGAATAATCTATTAAAAGTATAAAATACTCAAAAATTATTATATATTTAAACAACATAATTTTAATGAACTCTATTGGTGAATGTAATGATGTTTCAGTAAGGAAATCATGATCTTTATGGGTTGATATTTTGAGAACAATGTGGTTTTATTTTCGAAATAATTTTATTAAAAATTAAAGTGAGATTTATGACAAATATCACTAAGAAAACTAATTAAACATACTTAAACTAATAAAATATAGCATACTATGAGTATAAACAGTGTTTTGGTCCGTCATTTTATAAATATATTCAGCTTACCAGCAGACGGCATTTAAGCCATGGATTTAGTTCAATAATTAAGAATATATTAATATGTAAATATTTTGTAATATATTTATTTATATCATATATTAAGGTGTAAGATTAGTTTTAAGATAGAAATATTATATGGTTTTTGTAATAAAATAAAACTACTATTATACTACTATTTAGCTTACTAACTGCGAAAAGTATGTAATAAATATTTTATTAAGTACCATAAAGTATAAATTATAAACTATCCACACATCTGATAAAAGTTTACTGCTTCATTAATATCATTTCAAGATTTTAACATTTTGCAATATTATATATACTACAACCTTCCCTGCTTAGTTTAAAATATATACCTAGCGTATGCATTCGCTACTAAAAATTATTGTCTGTAATTTATTCATCACAGTACTTTATTTATTATTACAACTTTTTACTCTACCTGGTATACATAATTAACTTAAACCATATTCTCTTAGCTAGTATAGTGTTTATTCTATATATATTTGGCATCGGCTAATTTATTGTCTATCATTCTGCGGCGTGTATAATCCTGTCAAACCTCAGCATAACCCCTGTTATTATCTTGGAGTGTGCATGTACGACCATTCGCAGCTGATTTGCTGAGCCCACAAACTACTTTTGGGTATCTATTTAGACTACGGATTTTATATTTAAAGTAAGCGTGGCTTTTTTTTTAAATAAAACTTGATTTATTCTTCATATTTTTAAAAGTTGACTTAACGTTAGTTTCACTTTGTTGTGGAAACGGGTTTCGACATTGTTAGTAATAAATAGCTGAAGTTATAAGTTCCATTTTTATATCATCAATAGGGACACATATTGCTACTGCAAAAATCTCTTGGCTAAGCGCCAGTTTTTAGAGTTTTCAATTTTTCATTTCTTTTGAAGAACTTGTTGTGATTTACTTTATATTGTGATGTTTAAAATGGCTTTAATTTCTTTAATATGATTTAACCACAATTAAAGAACAATAAAGAATCACCAAATGAATTTGAAGCATAACCATTTAAATCTAAACTTCCTTAATCATCAAGTTGGTATTGATTTAATCGTCTGATATAGTAATTTGTAACTCTTCTCGTCATTTCTTGCATTATTTGTTATGTTATATTTGCCGATCCTACAGATAGTATTGATGATAAATAGTGCTTGTATAGTTCCTTTAATACTATTTCTATATCGTTTTTCATTGCCGGTAATTTCCCTTGGAGAAAGGGAATTGATAAAGAAATGACAGAAGCGCACTACACATGAAATGATATATGCAGAAAAGCACCTAAGTGCAGTTTAAGAGAATAGTTACGGTCCTATGTCCCATTAGGGGTAACGGACACTAAGAAGAAGAATGTTATTCTACTATTTCCACTATCTTAATCGTATCGCACCTATCCTGTTTACAGTTTAGTCAAGTTTGTAAGTCAAGTTTGAAAGATTTTATTGATGACTGACAATAATGGTATAGCTTACTTTGTCGTTGTTGATTTATTAAACTATAATAGTTGTAGTTAGTTAAGTAAATGGTTTTGAAAGATTTTATTGATAATTGTTCTAAAAATTGTTTAAAAAGAACGAAACTTTTTATTGTTTCTTAAAAGGTCAACTACTACCGAAAGATTCATCTAAAATGTCTTTATTTAACATTTTATTATTTTTTACGATTATTTTCCTCACATTTGGCCAAAACAGTTGTTGACAACTTTTGTTCTGTTGAAACATGAGTTAAAA